ACTGTGGTCCACAACTTTGGTTTGTGTCATTTCCAGGAACCTTGAGAAATTTGGGAAAAGATCAATTTTAATTAATTTTAATATACTTCCACTGAGAAGAGAAAAACATCTCACACATAACTCTTAGGGAAGGAAGACTGTCATTCAACCAGGGATGTAGCTATATGTGTCAGAGCTTTAAAACGGTGGAATTAAAAGGCCGTTGGAAAAATCTCTAGGTGAGGAGAGGATGGGAATGCGTAGATAAGTTGCCAGTAATTCCTGCCTCTTTCAGCAGAGGAAGGGGTCAGTTTATATAAAGTTTTGTTGCAGTTTGGAGAAGACACACCTTGAGGCGGAGGAAGATGCCTGGGGAGACCACAGGGCTGATGGAAGCCTCATAAAGTCCAGGGACCCAGCCAGTACTGGCCCGGGAAGGCCTGGATTTTGCCTGCAGGGTGAACAGTTCCCTGTAGTGTCTCCAGAGTAGATTAAGCTCCAAGGGACTGACTCTTATTAATTAAAAGTCACAGGGAACCGTTTAAAACCAAGAATAGCGGTGTTGAAAGAGTAGGGAGTAAAAAGATAATTACCCAGTGACCTGAATGTGTCCGTTTATGATTTGCACGTGTTTTCTCCTGTAGGCAGATCAGCCTGGGATCCTGAATCAGATGAGAGGCTTGCTTGCTGGTTACTGGCCAAGGTCAAGTCCAGGGAGCCAGTCCGATAACCATAATGGTTCAGGTCACGGGCCTCGTGCCTACTTTTCACTGGGATTTGCTTCTTGAGACCCCAAGCCAAGGGCCCTCCGAGCAGACGGTTTACAGCGGCACCGCCAGCTCTGCCTGACCTCTCCTCTTGGCAGCTCTGTGGCCTGGGCCCCACTGCTAAGTGGTAGTGTGCATGCCTTGGTGGTGTTTCAGTTTGAACTGGGGCTCTGCATCTTGCTGGTGTGTGAGCCGTCCAGTCTGTGTGAGGCCCTTGAAGGGATGGTGGTGGTCGAGAGAGGAGGGAGGTCAGTCAGAATTGTAGAGGGGGACTGTTTTCAGATGGCGCTTGGTCCCTGGGAGATGTTGCTGAGGAAGGTGGTGGTATGAGTGGCTTTCATTTCACTTTGCTGATCTCTGGTTGGATCATCGTGTATTGATTCCATAGGGTTCTTAGGGGACCGTCTTATTTCCTTGTTGGTAAGTTCTAGAGAGGATCGACAAAGTTTATTGCATGTGTTTCTTTTTTTTTTTTTTTTTAATTTTTGGGAGAAATGATGGAATCAATTTACTCATAAACACAATTTATAAACTCCCAGCAGGAAGGGAATAAATATGGATGCCCAGTTTCCTTCCGGTAGTGACATTTGCTGGAGACTCGTTTGTAAAAGAGATTTATTTGAAACTGGACGTTTGTACACAATGCACGGGACCTCCCTTTTTACTGGTGATTATCAGTCAGCCCGAGGCTGCTGGCTCCTTTGTCCAGGTCAGTTCTGGAGGGCGTGGGGCTTTGTCAGTTAGGAATCGTGTCCACAGTGATCTGTTAGTAGTCCTCAAGGTGCTGAAACACTTCCTATACGTGAAAACAGCTTTGAGGTCGTCCCATTCTGTATTCAGTTTGCTTGTGAGAAAAAGAGAAGGCTGGAACTGTTGATCAGCCCTTCTGGGTCTTGGTGGGAACCAGGTTGAAAACTTGATGTAGAGTTGATGCCCTCGTTGTGTCGTGTTTTTTTTTGACATGGGGACTCTGTATGTCTGTGTGTTACTCTTTGTGTCCTTAACACTGTCCTGTTCAGCATAGTAGCCACCAGCCACGTGTAGTTGATGAGCACATGACGTGTGGCCAGACCGATTGAGAGGGCTCTAACTATGCACACCAGCATTCAGAAACAATGTAAAATATGTGATGAATGTTTTTCAGTATTGATTACATATTGAACTGATGAT